CATTACTGATAAAGGCTCTCCAGGGACTAATTAAAGGAGATATTGGAGGCNTGGCCAAAAAAATGCTAGAAGGCATACATGGAACAACACAGTGGGGTACACAAACGCTAAGTGATCAATTTCTAAGGGATGGGGGCTGCATAGGAATTTTCAGAATATCTAAGGAAGTAAGTGAACAATGCATTATATGTCAACAAGTGAATAAGAAAATCATAAGAATAACACCCAGAGGAGGCCGAGAACTACCCTTACAAAACATCCAAGTAGACTTTACTGAGCTTCCCCAGGTACAATGGTGGAAGTCTTTGCCAGTGATAGTAGATCACGTGACTCATTGGGTAGAGGTGGTACCCACTGTGAAAGCCAATGCCAGTGTTGTGAGTAAATCACTTCTAGAATCAATCGTTCCCCATATGGGATGGCAAACAGGATTGATTCAGACCAGGAAACTCATTTCATATTGAAGATATTGCAGAAAGTTGTTCAGACCCTGGGAATAAAATGGGAATTACACACTCCATGGTATCCACAGAGTTCTGGTTGTAGAGAGAATGAATCAAATTCTTACAAGAGCTCTAGTTAAGCTAATGATTGAAACCCAAATGATAAAATGTCTCCCTTTGGCCTTATTAAGAATTAGAAGCCAATCCCAGTCAGATCTGGGGGTGTCACCATATGAAATGGTATTTGGGTTACCCTTCCTAACCCCCTCCCCAGAAGGTTGCCACCTATGAGGAAGGGGAAGCCAATGCCAAGAAATAAGTTATGCCCATAGCACAAACCTTAGAAGGGCTAAGGCATAAAGGGGCAATTCCTCAAACTACGGCTCTGGATTTCAGAATCCATAATATTAATCCCGGGAATTGGGTGATGATCAAGCCATGGAGAGATCAGCCTCTAACTCCTCAGTGGGAAGGTCCCTTTCAGCTACTGTTCACCACCAAATCGGCTGTGCGACCTGCAGAGCGGGGATGGACTCATGCCAACAGAGTCAATGGCCCAGTACAAGAACTCAAAGAGTGGACTATAACACCCAAGCTGGGTGAAACAAGATTGACTCTCAAGCAGAGACTGAAAGACAACCAGGAAAACACCAAGACAACCAAAAAGTAGAGTCAAGCTTCCACCAACCAGCTTGAGAACTGTCTTCCTGTTTTAGTGGGTGAGAATTACCAGCATCTGTTGAGGAGAAGTACACAAGGGACTGTAAAAGGTAATGAGGCAGCATCCTTAAGAAGTAAGAAAAGGAATAGAGGGCAAGATCAGGTTGGCCCCTTTGTTCACTACCAAGAAGGCTCCATAGCCCTGCTGTGGGTAGAAACCCTGTTGGCATGGTAAGGTGGGAACAAAA